ATAGGTAGGAAATAAACTTCATTTTTGTACAGAGGGAGCTAGAGATGGAAAGCTTTCCCTCTGGGTCCAGGAGAATGCCTATGTGAGCTGTGTTGAGTAGCTCTTTGATCTGTAGATCAGGTAAAAGTCCTTTCTTGGAGGAGTCAGATGGCATGCAGGGAGGTAGAAAAATCTTTCTTGTTGTTCTGCAATGAAGTTTTAACTCCAAAACTGGCTAAAATTCAGCGTCTTCCATGTGTCAGGGATGCACTTGGTAGCCGTCTGATTTTCCCAAGGCATTTGTGTAATAGCGTGAGGAAGCTTTATCTACCAGTGCTCATACTACATCTCTCCAGTTATTTAATACCTAATTCTAGTCTCTGCAATAATACCAGCTTCATACGCTGAAAAAGGGAGGGAAAATCTAGTACATCAATGTGTTCAGAAAAAGGTCTGCTGACTCTGTACTGAGATAACAATAGGTAAATGTGTTTTTCCTTTCCTACTAAAGAGATACTTTTCTAACAACTCTAACTTGTTTTCACACACAGCTTGAAAGTTATGTTTCCTACTTCCTTTTACAACATTGTATTTGAATATAGAGCCACCAATGCCAGTTTACATTCAGCTCAGGAGGCAGAAAGGACTGAAATAGCTTTAGTGACGCACACAGAACGTTTTCATACAAGTAGGGTCTGGCTTTTATTAGAGTATAATACCATCAGTCAATACTCATCTGCAGCAGTATATGCAAGTATTCTAGAAAGGCGCATCTTCCTATATCAAATCACTTGGAGAATTAGAGGGAACTATCTGAAACAGCAAAGCTAAAGAATAAAACACTCTTTTAAAATCTTGTTGTGCTTACTGAAAACATGCTTATTTCTGGCAGCAAAAAACAGCAGATGAAAGTTGTCATTGGCAATAAAAATAATCTGCTGGGATTTCAAGTTCACTTTTCAATGTCACAAGTGAGGACATTTTGTGCTCCTGAGACAGCATTTCATTGGTACATAACTCTTTGCTAAAAAGGAGGTTCACAGAGAGAAGAATTACATTTTTAGATTTTTCATGGCAGAAAAAGTTCTTCAGAAAGGACATAAATCTATATCTAAAACCCCAAACACCAGAGAGTGATGCTAATAGTAGGTTTTTATGGAAGCGATGATATAGCATATGGAGATACAATTAGCAATAGCTCCTGAAGTCTGTTACAACAGCTAGTTATATGAATCAGGTCTGATGCCAGTAAAAATCTTAATTTTTGGTTTCATACATAGAACTGTTTTCTGATTACATTTTGGTAATTAATTCAGCCAGGACTATATAGCTGCTAGAATCAAAGGCTAATGTTCTTACAATTTTTCATATCTTTTTAAATACCTGAAATGTTGTTGTTGTTGTTTAAAAATAGTTACAAAGAATCACAATAGATGAATTCTATGTCTCAAAAATCCTGCTTGGGAAAAGTTTTTAATTTGGCCTGAGCCTGAATTGATTCAATCTTTGCAGGTCAGTCTAACCTGGCTAGGCTGAATCACGCTATAACTGCACAGATATCCCAGAAATGCAAGCACATGCCTGCAGTGCCTCAGGCTAGAAGCGGG